GCATGTATAATGTGTGGGGGGGCATGGGGAGGGCTGTGCAACACAGAGAAGACAAGTAGTGATTCTACAATATCTTACTATGCTGATGGACAGTGACTGTAATAGGGTTTGTGGGGGGACTTGATGAAGGGGGTACCCTAGCAAACAGAATGTTCTTCATGTAATTGTAGATGAATGGTAACAAAAAAAATAAAAAATAAAAAATAACCACAGGGTATACACAACAAGAAAGGAAAAGAAAAAAAACACCAGGTTTCGTTTGTTGAGGACCTACTATATGTCAGGCTAAGTAGACAGGGTTTAATCCTTCCTACATATAATTAATGGAGCATAATTATTATTTTAATAAAATTATACATTATAATAAAATATATATTATAATAATATCACAAATAATGAATTACTTGTCTTATTTTGTAATTTAGACAAAATCAGATGGATATGCAACTAAAGATTATTAAAGATTATAGAGATTAACATATTTGACCAAGGTCATATAACCAGTATGAAGCAAAATCAGGATTCAAACCCAGGACTTTGAGACTTCAAATGCTCGAACACTTCACCTATTATGTGAAAAGCAAATCATGCACAGTTTTTCTGGAAACATGTGCAGTATATACTCACAGGGAGGCTGCAATATAATTATAAAATGGGTAATAAAGTATCAGATTTTCAGTGTTGCTCCTAGAGACATGCTGACTGGAAAAAACAAAACAAAACACTACCGACTCCCAAGACAATGGCCCATTATGGAATTGGTATTGCTATTTATAGACCTCAGCACAACTGCAAAATTGTTTTAAAATAGTATCTTTAACTAGAAACTTGACTCTGTACAATGATTCTTGTTGTGAATTCTAGATATGCATACCTGCTTACTGCATATCCATCTGACTTCAAGGAATGACAATCAAAGAGAGACGCTATGGGTACATTTCACACTTTCAGAGACTCACCAAATTTCCCACAGTGAGTACATTTTTGAAGTCCTCAGTCATTGGGTGATGCTCCATAGCCATAAACAATGTGTTTAAAACTATACAGATGGTAATAGCCAGATCTACAAAAGGATCCATTACAATAAAATAGATAATCTTTTTGAATTTTATCCAATATGGAGAGCAATTCCAGATTAAGAATGTGTGTGCAAATCTGTACCACCAAGGTGGACATTTTTGTCTGGACTCTTCAAGTTCTGGGAGAAAAATAAAAAAAGGGAGAACATGAAGTCAATCTTCTGTCCATTTTATTAAAGAGGTACAAAGCAGCAGCACACTTTAACATTGAAACAAGTCTTCTGGATCAGACTTTGCACATTAGCAGTATTATTTCTATGAAAGTAACAGCATCTACACAGAAATCTTGTGTCACATGTTTGTTTACTGGAGCAAGCGGAAGGGAGAAGACAGTGAAATTAATGACTCAGAGCAGATATGGGCATCTCTCGGAGAAAATGGAACTATCATGTGATGGTGAACATGAGAACATGGTCTCTCACTAGAAACACGTGTATTTTCCACTAACATGCATACTTTCCCTGTGTCCTTAACCCTTTAATAACAAAAAAACAATTCTAGTCTATCAAGGAAAAATTCTTTGTAGTTTGCAGGTGAAAACAATTCCAGAACCAAGAGATGAGCCCTAATTCACAGACTGCCTCATGCGACACATATCTCAACCCATTAGCCCGTTTACTTCTCACTGTAAGTTTAGGAGGTGGGTGGGAACTTTGCCTGGGCCCATCATGGGTGTGTATGGGGGTGAGGTGGTAGCCCATAAACAAGGTGGGACCTGAGACATATTGCAGCGGGAAAGGTTAGGAGCAAGCACATTTTCAAAGTTGCCACTGTCGACTCACTTCTCAATGTATCTCAGGGTCTAAACACTACTGTTTATATAATTCTCTTTAAATGACTCTATCAAATGTCTTTTTATCAAAGTCCTAACAGATGTCGTGCCACATAATACTATTTCACAATTTTATGGAATGTGCTCAGGGACAGCAATTTATAGGCATCTGGAAATATAGGCATTTTTGTCTTGAAAATTGGAGAGGTGATAAATTCAGAAAGACTAGCTAAAGTTTTTAAAATTACATAGTGAGCCTATTTTCAAATGACATGATATTATACACAGAAAACCCTAAAAACTACACACAAAAAACTACTAGAACTAATAACTGGATTCAGCAAAGTTGTGGGATGCAAAATTAAGACACAGAAGGAGAAATCAGGAAAACAATTCTGAAAAAATTGTACTAAAGGAATAAAATACCTAGGAATAAATGTAAATAAATAAAGAGGTGGAAAACTTGCACTCTGAAAACTATAAAACACTCATGAGAGAAATTAAAGAAGACACAAATAAGTGGAAATCTATCTGGTGCTCATGGAGAGGAAGAATTAATATTGTCAAAATGGCCATCTGACAAAAAGCAATTTATAGATTCAATGAAATTCCTATCCAAATACCAACAGCATTTTTCAATGAACTAGAACAAATAGTTCTACATTTCTTATGGAAACACAAAAGACCCCAAAATAGCCCAAGCAATCCTAAGAAAGAACAAAGCTGGGGTATTACATTCTGTGACTTCATGCTATACTGCAAAGCTACAGTAATCAAAACAGTATGACCCTTAGATCAATGGAACAGAAAAGAGAGCTCAGATATAAACCCATGCATATATGGTCAGTTTATATATGATAAAGGAGCCATGAATATACAGTGGGGAAAGGACAGCATCTTCAATAACTGGTGTTGGGAAAACTGGACAGCTATATGCAAGATAATGAGACTGGATTACTGTCTAACTCCATACACAAAAGTAAACTCAAAATACATCAGAGACCTGAATATAAGGCATGAAACCTTACTCTTAGAAGTAAAAACAGGTAAAAATCTCTGGAACATAAGTATAAGTAATATTTTCCTGGACACATCTTCTTGGGCAAGGGAAACAAAATAAAAAATGAACAAGTGGGAGTAAATCAAACGAAAAAGCTTCTATACAGCAAAGGCTGCCATCAACAGAACAACAAGACAGCCTATAATATGGAAGAATGTATTCATAAACAATTTATCTAGTAAGGAGTTAACATCCAAAATATATAAAGAACTTATATGCTTCAAACCAAAAATCAAATTACCCAATAAAAAAATGGGTGAAGGACATGAACAGATATTTCTCCAAAGAAGAAATAAAGATGGCTAACAGGCATGTGAAAAGATGCTCCACATCACTAATCATCAGGGAAATGCTAGAATGGTCACTATCCAAAAGACAAAAATAACAAGTATAGGCAAAGATGTAGAGAAATGGCAACCCTCTTACATTGCTGGTGGGAATGTAAACTGGTACAACTGCTGTGGAAAGCAGTGTGGAGGTCTTCAAGAAACTAAAAATAGAAATACCATTCGGCCCAGTAATTCCACTTCTTGGAATTTATGCAAAGAAAACAAAATCTCTGATTCAGGAAGATATTTGCACCCCTGTGTTTACTGCTGCATTTACAATAGCCAAGATATGGAAGCAACCTAAGAGTCCATCAATAGATGAATGGAGAAAGAAGATGTGGTTACATAAACACAATGGAACACTATTTTGCCATAAAAAGAAAAGAAATCCTGCCATTTGCAACAATATGGATGGATCTAGAGGGTATTATACTAAGTGAAATAAGACAGGTGGAGAAAAACAAATACCATATGATTTCCCCTATTTGTGGAATATAAAAACAAAGCAAAACAGAATGAACAAAATAGCAGTAGACTCACAGACACTGAGAAGGGACTGGTGGTTACCACAAGGGACGGGCTGGGGTGGGTGAATGAGGAGGGTGTGAAGGATAAAGGGGCACAAAACTTTTCAATCATAATATAAGTTGGTCACGGGGATAGTAGTACAGCATGGAGAATATAGTCAATGATTCTGTAACATCTTTGTATGTTGACAGATAGCAACCACACTAGATTTGATAATATGAGGATTTAATAATAGTGTGAGGATTTAATAACATGGGTAACTGCTGAACCACTGTGTTGTATATTTGAAACCAATATAAGATTGCATATCAACAATACTTCAGTGAAAAAAAAAAGAGTAAAACATCAGACAAATCCTAACTGATAGAAAATACCTGAGCAGTACTCCTTAGAGTCAGGTCATCAAAAGAAAAAAGAAGAAAAGAAATTGTCATGGCCATCAAACACAAAGCCTGAGAAACTGCCCCAGCCAGGAGGAGCCTAGGGAAACAGGACAGCTAAATGTCACAGGATGTCCGGCCTGGGATCCTGGGTCAGAAGATCCTTAGAAAACTGAGAAATCTGAGTAACATACGAACTTCAGTTTCAATATTGGTTAACTGATCGTCCCAAAGGCACCATACTAATGTGAGATGTTAGTAATAAGGATTTGGGGTATATGGGAGGTCTACATATTATCTTCGTTTTTTTTTCTGGAAATTTTGTATAAATCTCTTCTAAACTAAAAGTTTACTGAAAAACAAATAAAAAGGTTACATAGTGAGAAAGTCACGCAGCTCTGGTTTAAACTGGCTTTTTTCATTTTTTTACCACTAAGCTTTTTATCTTTGAAAAGTCGTATCACCCAATGCTTGCCTTTTTTTCTTTTTTATTGAACTATAGTGATATACAATATTATATTGGTTTCAGATGTACAGCCCAATGTTTGTCCTTAATTGCAAATAATTCTATCCATTTTTTTAAGCACATAAAGACAACTGCATTAGTATCCATTCATTATCTTCACCATCGCTTACCACCATTTTATATTCTTTGAATTCCTCCTAAGAATTTGATGTACCTACTTAAGGCTGCCCAGAATTTATTTGAATTCTGTTTAAAAATTTGTATGGTAAAGAACATCTTCACATACCTTCCACGGTATTTGTTAAAATGCTGACTCTACTCATGGCTCTTTGTCTGAGATTGGGATCATTCAACATATCCTCAGAAAAGAGATAACAACTGGAATGTCTTTTCTTATGTATTTGATTGGTTGTACCCTAAAAGGAAAAAAGATGATCAATTAAAGTTTAAGAACAGAATTCTAATAAATTACAGGTATAAGATAAAATCTTGTTTAGGTAGCTGTAGTGAAAAATTACAAATAGACTCTAGATTGCTGGGTTTGACTCATAGCTCTGCTACTTACTGGGTGTGTCGCATAGGAGAGTTACTTAACCTCTTTCTGCTTCATCCCTGGTAAAGTGAAGATAGTCATAGTACTTGCCTCATTCTTGCCTTGAGGATTCATTCAAGGTATTAACACATAGGAAATAAAAAATAAAACAAATAGATTTTATTGCTTCTTCACTATCATCTATCTTTCTGGGTCTCCCAATTTATTCAGATAGTTTTACCATGTAAGAACCCTACATGGAAACAGCTAGGCAAGTGTTGTGATGTGTGATAAATGGGAAGAACCTTAGTATTCTCTGATAAATTTCTTTACTTATGATTTGTTGAGGTAACAGCATTACTAGAAGTAACGGTGATAAGGAGAATCTCATGAGCTACTCTGAGTCTATGATGATAAATGACTCAGTTTGAAAGGGACGATTAAGACTGACGGGAACTGGACAAAAGGGAGAATGTAAGCTCCATCCAGAAGAGGGACCACTGTCCAGCTCTGAAGGGTTGTTGCCATGCAGGAATAGGAGCTCAGTGTGCCTGGGAATACACACTTTCATGTGAAAAGGTCTTGTTTTTCAATCATGGTAATGCATTCAAAGCTAAAATATTCTTCTGGCTTGGTGCCAGTCAACAATACACACACACATGCTCACACACATATAAATACATACAAACAACTATACAGCTCTACACTTACCACCTATCTACTTGGGTGCAGTATGTACATGTGTGTATATACATACTCACCCAACACACACACCATTTTATGAACATATATACATAGTTCTTGGGTTTTAAAACTGTATAGTTGTTTAGATATAGTTATATATGTGTGTATATCAAATACACACACATAAATATATGCACATGTGTGTATGTAAGTAGGCATGTATGTATATGCAGTGACTTATACACACACACATATCTGCAGGCGGTTTTTTGTACAGGTCTCTATAACCAAGTTTTCTCTGATACAGTCTCCAATTTACTGACTTCCCAGAAGCAAATTTTTCTCTTCTTTCCAAGTTAAACAAGAATAAGAAATTCTTCTGCATGTAGACACATTTCGGGTGTCAAGGTCATATTTATCATGTATTTTTTAAATCTAAACTAGATTTTTTAAATCTAAATTATATTGACTGCATTTCCATTGAATCTTTGAGTTTCCACTAATTCTTCTAGTTTTATATTTTTAGTTTTAGGATTTATGGTGATAATGACTTTTCTGTGGTAAAATTAAAATCTCAGATGAAAACATTTTTATTTGAAACTATGAAACACTCTCTGTATCTGATATAAATTACCTATTTTACAGATAATACGTATCATTGAAAAGCAAAACACAGCAAAGATCTGATTTCATAGAAATTTCACATGCTCAGTTGATAAGAAAAAAATACCTTGACAGAAGGGCTGAAGCTGTATCGTGCAAGCACAGAGGTCACATTACCTAAAAGCACATGCATTCATTCAAACTGAAATAGGTATGTGGCCATGGCTTTGATGGAACTTTATTCCCACTTAAGCTACTCTGTTTTCTGCAAATGTGAATATATGAATAAGTAGCATGAGTTCAAAGCTTGAAGGTTAGTCAAAGCCCTTGCTACTATTTAGAATGCAGTATAACATGACAAGTGGTCTAAAGGGGTAACCTGAACACTCCAGAAATCAGGAAGATCCAGTCTCATCAGACCCTTTTCTCTGACCACTCAATGATGCTTGAAACTTGAAATTTTGTTTTGAAATGGTTGTTTTGTGTTTCTTTTCAAGTGTATAGGTTTGCATTTATGTTTTCTAGATATTATGTCTTTATTCATAGATTTAAACCAAAGAGGTTTTTTATTTTTAATGAAAAAACTGTTTCATTTATATATGGGAAAAAAAATATTCTACATTATTTCCAAGCTACATATTTCCTACCACACTTCAGACAGAGAGCAAAGTGTGGTGCTTAAGAGCACACGCTATGGACCGGAGGACCTCCTTTTGAATGTCAGAACTACCATGTACTAGCTCAGTGACCTGGCACAAGTAGCTTAATTTCTCTGTGCCTCAGTTTCCCCCTTTGTAAAACAGGGATATGAGTATATCACCTCACACGGCTGTTGTAAATACTAAATACATGATTTCTATTATTGTTACTATTATGAACTCAAATAAGATCCCTTGAAACAAGGGGTGTGGTATGTGTGTGTATACATATATATATATATATAAAATGGTGACCTGAAAAAATTGCAGGGTGGCAAATTATCCAAATTTCTTACAGAAATGAGAACTATTATCAATCAATAAGGTCAGCATCATCAATGCATTTTCTGTGATGATACAAATTGTTTTTATAATAAATGATATAAATCTTTTATAAATTGTTTTCCAAAGGGACAATTTATAATCTTTAAGTATAATATCAATAGCTAAGTACCTTTCTCAAGAAGGGGTCTTAAACATCTTTGAATTAAATGCCTATAGCATGTAGTATGGGGATTATGTTAGGAAGTTAAAGGTGTGTTTCTACAGTGAAAGTATTGCAAAATGCAGAGCCATTCGCAGGACCAGAGGAGGCCCCCCGGGCAGAGAGGCTGACGGGGGCAGGAAGAGGGGCGAGCCATGCCTGAGCTATTTAAAATGTCCTTACGCTGTCATCAGAGGTTGCCTTATCTATTATCACCTCTGGCAGGAGCTGTCCATTGGGGAGCATGAGGGCTGCGGGCCCGTCCACCAGGGAGACCACGCCGTTGCAGTCCACGGCGCTGTGCATCTTCCCGTTCACCAGCGCTGGGGGCGACCTGCTGGCCTGGCTGACGTTACTGCTGCGCCGCTCCCGAGGCCTGTGGGGCACGAAGAGTGAACCCCGTCTGCTCTCGCCGTCTCCGAAAATGCTATGCTCGTCGTCCGCAAATTCAGTCTCAGATCCAATATCTCTCCCTCGACCTTTGAAACTAAAAAGACTCGTCCTGCTGCTGCGCCTTGGGGAAAACAAGGAGCCCCGGATGCTGAGTGGTGACTGCAGAAAAAATAAAAGGTGACACGTATCTGCTGAAGCACCTAAAAGACAAGTGTGTGTACCTACCACTGAATCCACTGATCTGAGGGCCAGTGGTCTGTATTGCTTGAAAAGAAACACTTAGAAACAAAGCAATTTAGCAAGAAAACAAATTCTTCCAGATACGAGATGGAAGGACTGGAAGAAGTCATCCTTTCAGGATTTGGCACCGATATCCGTGATTTAGCTTTTCCCTAGATATATAAACATGTATTGCTATGTCTCATCAATATCAATATGTCAGTCCCTGTGTTCCGTAAGTGACTGAAACTTTCTTCAGGCCAAAGACCACACTATATGCTTCTTTTCAGTTCATTGCTTAGAACTCTACCTTAGACGCTGAAAGCTCAGCTCAGGTGTGAGACCTCTGAGAAAGACATTGTAATATCAGTGAGTTTAAAAGTCATGTAACATTAGAACTTGGAAAAGAAGTTGCCCAATACCAAAGAGAGGCAAAAGCCAGATTTATATGACTCATGTCCAAGATCAACTGTGTCCCTAAACCAAGAGGAATGCACAGTCTTTGGAAGTATTTAATTCAATAAACACTGATGACTGTGCAGAGGGCAAAGCAGCGGCATTGAGAGCAATGGAAAATGAATCTACCACTGTCTTGGACTTAAAACTAGCTTGGACCGCTCCTGTCCTATTTCTTTTTATTGATACCGCATGTATTCAAGTTTGGTTTCTCAAATGAATTATGAAATCATTAAAGGTGGGTATAGAGGAAAATCTGTGGGATGGTGGCACTTGAGCCCATGAGTGAAGAGTGGACGGACTAAGCCAGGAGGAAAACAAGGAAGAGAATCATCCTGCTGAGAGAAAATGATGTGGACTAGGTAACGAAGGTATGAAAGTACAGGGCATATAGGGAAAAGTGAACGATTGTGACGGGTTAAGGGTACACAAAGGCACAGAAAGGTAAGCAATGAGGCTGAAGCCGGTGCATGGCATGGCCAAGAAGTGGGTCTCATTCTGTAGTCAGTGGTTATATAACAGAGAGGTTTTGTTTTGTTTATTTTAGTTGAGCAGAGGGATAACTTTGTTTTAGAAAGATGACATGGAGGAGTTGTGTGATGGAAACCAGGGAAATGCTAAGGAGAACAGAAGCAATGCTTCGTCTTAGCGGTTTGGACAGAGAGATCTGAAATATGAAGGTTTCAGTGGAAAAAGAAAGAAAGGGAAAGAGGATTCCACACAGGCATAAGTAACAGACCAGATGTCAGTAGCTGATACAGTTGAGGGTAGAAGCTTTGAAGGTGTCTCCAAATTTTTCAGCTTGGGTGACTGACATTCTAGTGATACCAGTACCTACAGGAGTGAAGGAAAGTGGACAAACTAGTCTAAGAGTAGTTTTTAAACAATGAGGTATTACACAGACTAAATAAAACTATAAATGTGAATGTATGGTTCACAAAATTTCTTTTCTACGATAGCTCTCATGAATATTTTGTCTTGAAAATTTGTTTATGAGAGAAGATATGACAATTCTGAAACTATAACCTAGTTAAAAAAAAGGTCATACTTACCTATATGTAAGACATGAAACCATAAAACTCTTAGAAGAAAAAATAGGCAAAAATCTCTGGAACATAAGCATGAGCAATTTTTTCCTGGACACATCTCCTCGAGCAAGGGAAACAAAATAAAAAATGAACAAGCAGGACTACATCAAACTAAAAAGCTTCTATACAGCAAAGGCCACCATCAACAGAACAAAAAGACAACCTGGAGTATGGAAGAATATATTTGTAAATTATTTATCTGGTAAGGGGTTAGTGTCCAAAATATATAAAGAACTCATATGCCTCAACACAAAAAAGCAAATAACCAGATTTAAAAATGTGCGGAGGACCTGAACAGACATTTTTCCCAAAGAAGAAATACAGATGGCCAACAGGCATGTGAAAAGATGCTCCACATGGCTAATCACCAGGAAAATGCAAACCAAAACCACAATCAAGTATTATTTCACACCAGACAGAATGGCCACTATCCAAACAACAAGAACTATCAAGTATTGGCGAGCATGTGGAGAAAAGGGAACCTTCCTAGACTGATGGTGGGAATGTAACGGTACAGCTACTGTGGAAAGCAGTGTAGAGAGGTTTCTCAAAAACAACAGAACAAACAACAACAATACAACCCAGTAATTCAACTCCTAGGAATTTACTCAAAGAAATCAAAATCTCTGATTCAAAAGATATATGCACCCCTATGTTTATTGCCACATGATTACAATAGCCAAGATATGGAAACAACCAAAGTTCCCATCAATAGACAAATGGATAAAGAAGATGTGGTTCATATACACAATGGAATATTATTCAGCCATAAAAAAGAAAAAATCCTGCCATTTGTGACAACATGGACGTGCCTAGAAATAAGCCAGGTGGACAAAGACAAATACCATATAATTTCCCCCTATTTGTGGAATATAAAAACAAAACAAAATGAACAAAATAGCAGTAGATTCATAGACAATGAGAAGTGACTAGAGGACACCATAGAGCAGGGGCTGGGGTGGGTGGGTGAGGATGGGTATAAAAGGGCACAAACATTTTCAATCATAATATAAGCTGTTTACAGGTGTGGAGAATATAACCAGTGGCTCTGTAACGTTGACAGAATCCTATGCTGACAGATGGTAACTGCACTAGTGGCGGTGAGGATTTAATAATATGGGTAACTGCTGAACCACTGAGTTGTATACTTGAAACCAATATATGATTTTATATCAACTATACTACAATTAAAAATCCGGTCATATTTAAATGGGAAACTATGTACATCTATGCTCTTTCCATAAATGCCCACAAATCAATAGGCTTTTACCTAAAAACACACCAATGAATTCACTCACTTTCCTCTCCTGAGGTCTCTTATGCCAGAATAAAACATTCTGCTCTATTATCCTATTTCTGGTGATCCTCATTTGATATTTTAATTGTACCTGATTAGGGGTAGACAGTCTCTTTTCACGTGCTCGCCTATGACCTTCGACACCAAGGTGGAAACTTTTTCTCCTGATACTCTCCTCTGACTCTGATTTGGACAATTTCTCATCGTCTCCCTTTTCTTCCCCACTAGACAGCTTCTTTTGATTCTTTTTTTTCCTTCTGTTTCTTCTTTCTTTAGCACTTTTGGAGCTCAGTTTGGATGTTTCAGAAGAACTTTCAGAGATGCCCGTAATTCTGCTTCTCCCGATACTTGTATATTCAGCTGCTGCCAATGCTATTACCTGTTGGATCAAGGGGTCACATTAGAGTGAGTCATTCTCAAAGTCTGAGAAGCCCTATTGTGGGGTACCTCTCTAGCATGAATTTAATTACATTGTGTATAAAATCATGTCCCTTCTACATGAAGTAATGTTTTCTTTGCACTATGACCAGAGAGCTTACAAAGCATATATTTATTATAATTATATATTATAATAAATATATAATTATAAATCCAATTATATAATTATGTAATCATAATAAATCCTTATGGTAATTTGGAATTAAACTATTACATTCCTAGTAAAGTAATTTTAAATAGTATATATGAAAGTTTTACTAGGTAATTCTGGAACATAAAACTCACATAAGCTATGTAATTGGTAATTTATATTTCTTGTTAAGGTAATTAACTCAATATTATCAATAGAATAAGGCACTCAGTTTAGTGAAGATTCACTTGTCTGAAAAATAAAAACAGATTATTACAAAACAGATCTCAAGAAACTGAAAGGGACTTCTGTGGAGTTCTCTAGGAAATTCCTGGGAATGTAATCTCCTTATAAAAGTATTTCCTTTATTAAAATAAAGCAATCATTGTAAAGATTTGGAAAATAAAGATATTGTGAAAAAATAAATAAAAATCTCTCATAATCTACATCCCAGAAATAACTTGACTAGTGTTTCTACCTGTTTTTATATACACAATTTTAAGTTAATTTGTATCTTATCCTCAATTTTATAACCTACTATTTAATACATTGTTAAATTAACAGCTTTTCCTGTCATTATAATAATCTCAAAACACATACTTCATACTTCTGTGACTGAATAATACTCCAGGATATGAAAATATCATAATCCTCTGAACCATTTATCTGATTTTTGTAAATTAAATGTTTTCTAAATTTTAATATTTTTAAAATATTGTACTGAAATCTTTCTGCATCACAGTTTACTACCTCCCCCAATATGTTAGATTCTTAAGAGATTTAACTAGGTCAAACTATTAAACAAGTTTTAAGACTCACTTTATATTTGAAATTCTGGTTCTCTTAGTACAAACCTTCTCAAACATCCCAATGAGCGTCCCTTTGGAGATGGGAGTAAGAAGGAGCCCTCAAGAATTTGCTGATTAGCCTAAAGTTGCCACCACCATAAAGCATGATTTTTTAAACATCTCATGTTTTATCTTAAAAATCCTTGCAACATGAACCAAAACTGATGCACATTTTGCTTTACACCCCACAGAGTATCTGTTAACTTTAAAATAATTTGCCCTAAACTTTTGCATAAGATTGTTACTCCAGGGAAACACATCATGTATGTATTGGGACTTTGCATAATGCCATGCGCACTGAGGAATCAGGAGTAACAGGTTTAGAGGGAACAGTTTAGGACAGTCTTACGCCTGAGTGACCTGATTATGGGGAAAGGTGGAGTGGGGCAGATGTCAATTCTAACTCGATTCAGAATTGGTTCCTTCAACAGCACTTGGATGAAAATTCAGTTTATATTTGAAAGCCCAGTAAGAAAAATCTCTTTGGGGAAGACCACAGAGCCTCTGCTCTTTCCCTTTGCACTTCTACTTCCAGGAAGAATTTAAAAACAAGTAACATTACCTCAGCTTCTTCTTGCTCTTTTTTAAGACAATCTAACATCTGTTGAAATTCTAACTCTTTTTGCCTGGCTTCTTCAATGTTCGCCTGGTTCTGCTCTTCATAGGCCATGGCCACCACAGCAAGGATCAAGTTTATTAGATAAAAGGAGCCCAGGAAAATCACCACAACAAAGAAGATCATGTAGGTTTTCCCAGCAGCACGCAGTGTCTAGGGAAAAATGGAAATCATTTTAATAACATGAAGTTTTTTTTGGTAAATCATTTCAACTTGAATGGCATATTAGGCATGGGTAAACTGAGAAGTTCCATATAATCTCATGTTATCAGAACTATAAAGGTATAAAATTGTATCCCCATGGAATCAATCAGTATTAAAATATAGACATTTGTAGTACAAAGGATACAACAATCGACTAAGCTTATACTACAATTAGATATGATTTTTAATTTTAAGCAAAATAACAACTGAATCCCCCCACCCCCAGACTGAAACACACTGAAAAGTGAACTGCTTTGCCTGTTTTCAAATGACAGGACCAGATAATATCTATCATCCCTTTTACTGATAAAATTCCATCCAAACAAGAAGTATTAATGATGATGTATTATATTCACACAGGCAGAGGGCTTTATGATATGAATTTATCTGTTATGTATTCTTATATTCATTTTTAATTAACATGTATTAAGAATGTACAATCTGAGCATAAGATTGTATATCAATGATACCTTAATAAAAAAAAGAAATAGATGCAAAACAAATTAAACAAAAAAATGTACAAAACACAATGTGGTCAAAAAGTTCAAATAGCACAAATATTAAATGAAAAATAAGTCTCTCTCTCCTAGTTCTGATGCCCACTTACTCCTTTTCCTTATTTACTGATTTCTTCTCTTGGATAAATTCTTAGTGGAACTGTTAGGTTAATGGGCACATTCATAGACATTTCCCACATTACATCTCTAGCGGTTCCTAGGAACATGTGAGCAAATCTGCCTCTGCGTCCAGGCAGTCCTATCTTTTGATCTCCTGTTTGATCTTCATCACTCTGACAGGTGCAAGCTCATGACACTCTGGTTGCAATTTGCATTTCCTTAACATTGAGTAAAGGTGAGCATTTTTTGGCATATTTAGAAAGACACTTGTATTTGTTTTTCCTGTGAAATACATTTTTGTATAATTTGTATATTTATTCATAATATTCTCAGAAATTAAGAAACCTTAAAACAGGCCAAGCGAAGAATCTGTGTCAATTCTGAGAATAATGATTCATCATTATTTATCATACAGAATAATCATTTTCTTCTCTGTCCTGCTGGGCTTGGATGCTGATAATACCTAAGGCAGGGCCCACAGGCTGGAGAGGATCACGTCTGAGTCAGAGGACACAGCGTGTGAATTAACAACTCCACCCGAGGGATGGATGCCACAAACGGGAGAACACCCAGAGAGCATGGGACAGGGGAGGAAGGGGCACTGGGCTGGGAGAGGAAAACTCAGAGGAGGGAACCGAGTCTGATTCTTACATTAGTTTGCTAGGGCTTTCTTAACAAAATATGACAGACGAGGTGGCTTACACCCCGAAATTTTATTTCTCACAGCTGGAGAGGATGGAAGTCCGGGGTCCACGTAGTGGCCCGTTTGGTTTCCCTCCTTGGCTGGCAAATGGCGGCCCCATCCCCGAGTCCTCGCAGAAACAGCCCTCTCATGTCCTGACCCCCTCTTCTTGGAAAGACACCAGTCAGACTGGATGAGGAGCCATCCTAACAGCGCCTTAGTTTAACTTAGTTACCCCTTTAAAGGCCCTAACTCCAAATACAGTCATTCTAAGGTATTGGAAGTTAGGTCTCCAACTTAGGAATTTGGGAGGAAACAACTTAATCTATACCAATTGTACACGGGAGTTCAAAAATGAAGCATGGCGAGCACAGGAGAGCCTGGTGTTTGGGGCACTCCAAGCCTGGAGGCCCATGTGGAAAGCCGCGCGCGCGCACAGGGGGAGTGTGCTACGAGAACACACTACATCATAGTTCCTGCTCTTACTTCGGACCCCACGGGATGCTCTGTTCAGAAAGGGAGAAGAGAACTCGAAATCAGATAAGCCAGGGAAGGGTAAGAAAATAACACGATTTTAAGAATTACCCACTCTAATAGTGTTGGAAGCAAAACGTGTCTAATTTTAGTAATAAAGACAATAAAGTGTTCTGAATTCTAAATTAAATATATCACCTCCTATGTAAGGCTGGTAAGGAATATACATCAGATCTATATGCTGTTTCAAAAAGCAATGAATATTTTTCTTGGCACTCACCTGTTGGTAAAGGTTTTCCCAGTAATCCTGGGTCATCAGCCGAAACAAGGCTAAGAACGCCCAGCTGAAAGTGTCAAAGCTCGTGTAGCCATAATCGGGGTTTCTGCCGGTCTTCATACATTGGTAACCTTCTGGACACTGACTACACGTGAGAAAGAGTATCACAACTTAGAACGTATTCGGGATGTAAGCTGAGGAGCATTAGAGAAAAGTTAGAAACCCAAGGATCCTTTTCTAGGGGGACAATACTGATGAACAATGATCTTAATGCATTATGTGAAGTCACGAAGAACTGGGTTTGAATCCCACCCCTACTATTTACTAGCTGGTTTTGTCAAATTACTTAAATTCTCCAAGCACAGTTCCCTCTTTCTGTGAAAACAGGATAACATCAACATCAAAAGGTTAAGACTGTGATTAAGTTTAAAGCAGATAAAGTTTGCAAGTTACCTCACCTAGTTGCACACATAGAAAGCATTTAAATGGTAGCTGCTATTAGTGTCATCATCATTGCCACATCAAAACTTGGAATCTTTCGCCAGATGTCATATAGTAGTTCTTGTATCCACAGATTGATATATAGGCACTGACACAGCTACAATACTTCATTGGAGAATGAGTAGAATTTGAGGATGGAAAGAAAAGCTGATTTTGTTCACTCTTTTTTCCAGAAAGAAGAAAGGCTTCTAACTAACCAACCAACTTTTGGTGGGGTTTTTGTAAGTAATTTTTCTACTTTCTTAAGATTTATGTGATTTGTATCTTGTTTTAATTCAAACACTACATCAAGTCTTGCTTTATAAAGTATGTATTATCTATGAATGCTTTAAAGTCTGGACTCACTGTGTGACGGCAGTCAAACAATGCCATGCAATATATGAAAACAAAACAGAATCAAAGATTCTTATTAGCAAACTGAGTGTGCTTTTCCTTTTTTTGCAGCCTTAGACTAAAAATAAAATAAATGGTACGTACCCTGAGTCTGGGCTCATGCCACAAAGGAGAGCATCTTTGGATCCCTCCAAGTAATAAAAATATTCTGTTTAGGAAGAAATTGAACAACATAAATTACAGTATATAAACTTTAAAAATGATACAGCAGTTTTAAGTTCATTAATACAGACGTATTCACGCCTGGTCCTAGACAAGATACATTCATTTATTTATTATATTCTCATATACACTCCCTCAAATATTTATGTTAACCTCTAATGGGCCAGGTAGTGAGTATAATGATAAATGTGATAAACAAGATTATCAGTTTTATGAATCTTTGTTTAGGTAAGGGTGGAAGTTGGGGATGGAGAAAGGCACTTAATAAGTAAATAAATAAATATACAAGGTATTTTCAGATGGACAACCCAAGAGTCCATCAACTAATGAATGAATAAATGCCCTAAAGAAAATAAGTTAAGACAATGTGATAAAATGTGGTCAGGGAAACCCTTTCTAAAGAGATGACATTAGAACTGGGATCTAAATGCTACAAAGAAGCCAGCTATTCAAAAGCCCTGGTGAAGAGACATCTAGGCCGGGTACAAAGCAAGAGCAAAGGCCCTGAGGCAGATATGAAGTTGGTGAATAGAAGAAACAGCCAGATAGCCAGCTTGCTTAGAGTGCAGTGCGTGGGAAGTACTGTGTGGCAGAGGTAGGCAGGGGCCAGGTCATGTAATTTCCATGTTATGAAAAGAAGTTTGGACTTTAAGTATGATTAGAAGTAACAGAAGCGGGAAGTAGAGCTAGGAGACAATAATTGCCATTTAAAAATGTCACCATGGTTGCTTTGCAGACCATGACCTCTAAGAGAGCAAGTATGGAAGTAGGTGTGCGAGTAAATGAGTACAGCGAGAACTGGCACGGCTACAGTTCAGGGAGTATCTGTGGATAGGCAGAGAAGGGGAGGAAAACAGAGCGGACAGCACTTGCTGGGGGAGTGTGCAGGGGGGTGTGCGGAGAGGACACAAGGATGTGATGGGAGTCGTCGTCAGGTAGAGAGTCCTCAAGGCCACGGACCTTGACGAGTCAGCCCAGAGAGGGTAGCTAAGGACAGCAAAGTAAGGGGAAGACGGGAGCCCATGACTGAACCCCACAATATTTCAGAAGAGATGGAGTCAGCAGGGCAATATGATAAGTGGACAAAACTTACCTTCTGAAGTCATCTTGTTTATTCACCAATCAATAAGTTTTTAGGACTTACTAAGTTCCAGATGTTGGGGACATGGCAATGTAATCATGGGACATCTCGCTGTCAGTTACCTTTGGTGCCCATTTTCAGATGGAAGGGATCTCATAATCTCTTCCTCCATCCGCTCTTAAGGCTTATTCTTATGACAGGGAGCTGACCCAACTTTGCATAGTAAAAGTATAAAAACATAAGGGCCCAGCACACTATCTGGCTCAAGTCAAAGTAATAAAGATGTAATGAGTTGGAAGCTTTTGGGGTAATAGTGCAAGAAGGACTTTGAGGTCAGACATACTTGGGCCCGTTGCTTCTATGCCCCATTCTTCCTCTGTAGGTGGAGTATCTGACCACTTTAATATTTTTCCACATCTGTAAAATGTGGATAAGCACACCTACTTTGCAGAGATGTTGAATAGTATAAATAGGATATTACATGCAAAGCACTTGATATAGGGATCGACACATTGTAAACAGCTGCTCCAAGGGCATCAGCTATTATTATGAAACTATTAAACAGTTTCAGGTAAGACTGACTGATTTACACACTGTCATTTTGCCTTGGGATGAAGATACAAATAAAACAATGAAGCCTCTTGGTTTGAGGTGAAAGTTTTGGTGAGATTGTGCATAAAAAATTTTTTGGAAAAAAATCCCAGGCCCAGGATGGTGGACATGGCAAAATGAAGATGGAGGAGTCAAAGATGCAATTTTTTAAACATCAACTTTCAAAATATTTTCACTATAGAAGGGTTGCTTCACTGTCACTGTTTACCCCAACACTGGCTCATGAAGTAATTAGGAAGGAGCTGTTTTAGGAGAATGGACCCCACAGCTGCCTGGACCGGCACATTCCAGGGCGATACACTCAGTTCAGTACGAGAATGATGTAAAGGCACAGTAATGGGAGAACCTCGCTGCGGTCTGGTAGAACACTTTAAAGCAATTCCTAAACAAGTAGACATTAAATTACTAGGATAATTAGCCTCAAGGGAATTTAAGGTTAACACGTAAAGGGAAAGTGTTATGCCAAGAGAAAGGAGAACATACATTCACAGTAAAACTTACACATGAATGTTCTTAGCTGCATTACTCACACCAGCCAAAAAGCGGGAACAACCCAGGTGTCCATCAACTAATGAATGAATAAATAAACTGTAGTGTATATGCACAGTGGAATATTAGTCAGCAGTAAAAAGAATTACTGCTGCAGGCTACGTGGGTGAAAGTTGAAAGCATAATAAGTAAAAGAAGGCAAACCCAAAAGGCCACATATTGTATGATTTTGTTTACATAAAATGTTCATAGTAGGTAAATCCATAGAGATAGAAAGTAGATTAATAGTTGTCAGGGGCTGCAGGAGGGAAGGAAAGGGGGGGTGATTGACATTATGCACAGGATTTCTTTTGAGAGAGGTGAAATATTTTAAAATTAGTGATGATGGCTACCCAACCCTGCATATACTAAAAACCACTGAACTGTATAATTTACAAGGGAGGATTTTATGGTATATGAATTATATCTCAGTAAAGCTGTTAAATCAATGTAATGCAGTATAATGGCAAAGACTGTGGAGAGTAATAGGTAAGTCTCAAGTTCACAGTAAAATACAGATGGCAAAAAGAAATAGAAAATTAAGTAATTCATACAATAAAAATCTGGAACTGAATTCAATCTAATACAGATTCTGGGGAAATTTTCTGTTAATTTCAAGGGCAATAGAACAGAATGGTAAAATATAATTGGTGACCTAAACATTCTTTGATTAGTTTTATCTGACCTGGCTCAGAAAAAGCAGCTTAGAGCAACTCTCTATGCCTTGGGCTTTCAGAGTCAAGAGTTTCTTCGTCAACCAAGGGGCAACGAGAAGTCAACTCTGAGAAAACTCGTTCAGGGAACCACGTAGAGACAGAGCGCCTGCAAAGGACACATTGCATTCTGGGAGATGTCCCATCAAGGGAAGAGCTGTGGATGAAAGAGGCTGGAAAAGTGCTGGCAATAGTGCAGACCAGCATTGTGGCCTCTCCAAGAACTTGTCTATTCAATGTCAAACATTTAGACAACAAGAACAGGAGGCATGCCCCTTTCCTCCAATAGACCCGCGCTGCATCAGTGCATTAACAGCTGCCGGAAATTTAGCTATAAACTACGCACATAAACCTTTCCACCATCTGTAGCAGCAGGAGGGAAGTTTGATGAATATCAAGGCAAATAGTGTGTAGAACCAAAGAATTACATAAATTATGTTTTTAAACATGAGGTTAGACAGTGGGCTTGTTTATTTGACAATGTATTTTAAAAACACCTCCAAAGATGCTCTGCTGTAGACACCAGAAAACACTTTGAGTGGATGTTCAGGGTCTCGATAGAGGCTGCCTTTACCATTACAATTCTAGGAATTCTGATTCACGTATCTCACCACCTCCTCATGATCTACCAACTCAACCTTGGGTTCACCTCTTTCTTTGTCCAGTTCAGAATCCGTGGGCGCTCCTTATCACCATTCTCTTCACATTTACTCAGCTTCTAGGCATTTCTCTCAGTCTGTCACACTCACCTGGCAGAAGCCTAATCTGACACACAACCCAGCATCCACCTTCTCCATACTTGCCCCCAAATTGCTGAAGTCATTGGAGAAACTGTCACACCCAAGGGAGTGTTCACATTTTAAATAAATGATCTCCAATATCAAAGTGGCGCTCAAAGTAGACTCCAGGTTGCATTCCCTAAGATAACCAGAGTGCATTCTCCTCGAATCTTCTAGAGAATTTTCTCTTCTTTATTTGCACTGTTAGTAATGATCCATCTCACACTTTTCCAAGGAAATAAAAGGTACAGGGTTTGACTTAATCCTCCTCAGGTAATTAATTCTTCAGCATGTTCCTCCACATTTCCTCCTGCATCAGTAGTGGAGATAATTCTCCTCTTTGCTCTTCCACCTTCTCAAGGACTTAACTTTCCCCCCTTTCCTGAATTACTAATCCATATTTGACTATTCATTCATTTCTACAAGTAAATAAACATCTCTATCAAAATCCATCTTTTAAAACAATGCCAGCCATGGCATTGTTCTGCTTCCCTATACAGCCAAATTTCTTTGACGAATGGTCTGTGTGTACCGTCTTCTCTTCTCCCTGACTTTGACTTGCCCATTACCACCCCAGTCCAACCTGTGCTCTTACTTATTCCGCTAAAATTTTCTCATGCAAGTCTCTGATGACTTCCATGCTGTTTAAGCTAATGCATGCTTCTCTGTCTTCATCATCCTTAATCGTGGTTCTTCCAACAGCACTTGACACAAGCACTCCCTTTTTCTCAACATACTTTCTTTTGGTTTCACTATTTACATCTTTATTCACTTCATACTTTACTAGATGCTCCTTCTCTGTGTCCATTTTCCTCACTACCTGCCTTCTAGACATTAGGATTGTGGAGCGGAGCATCTTCTAAACACCAAATTTGCTTTAAACACAAGGTTGCCCAGTCCTCTGCCTACTTAGAAACATCAGGGTTTTCAGAAGGATGTGTGCATGTATCCTTCTTGCTGCTGATTTCTTTGATTATCCTGAACCAGGCAGTTCCTCTGATCCCTATGCCTACATCTCCAATTGTCTACCTTATCTGTTCACTTAGAAGTCTTAATGTCATTTCAATTTTAACTGGCCAATAGCTGCCTTCCCCTACAAACCTGCCCAGCCATCCCTCACTTCTCCTTGCCACTCAGCCAGTTACTGTGGCCACAAACCTACAAGACATTCTCAACCTCTCCCCTCTTCTCTAATCCACCAAGTTCATTAGATTTTATGTTAACTCACCCTTTTCTCGTCACTTCCTGCCAGAACTCCAGATGAAGACACAGTCTACTTTCGTTTGGTGACAGAAGCAACGACGCCTGGGTCTTCCTTCTTCCAGTTGACCATGTCCCCTCCTCACCCAATCACAGTTCTCCTCACAGCAGATCAAATGAATAAAATCCAAACTCCTTGCCAGGGGCTAAAACACCCTTTGTGATATGACCCCTGACTTTTTCTCCCACTTTCTCTTTTGCCATCTGTTTCTCCTTTGCTAAAGTCTAACAACATTGCTGTTTTTCCGTTCCTTAAACACACAAATTCTTTCTTGTTCCAGGGTCTTTCCACATGCTACTTACTCCTTCTAACTCAAGAAGGCAGCAACCGCCTTACACACTCCCACCCACTCTTACACTATTTTATGGATCCTTATTACCCTTTAGATCTCCAGTTAAATGCTGCCCCTTCAGACAGATCTTCTCATTTAGCTGGTATCTCAAAAAAGCAGGGGCTCGGAATGAATGCCAAATGGCAGCTCTCCCCTGAGATTTATTTTCTTTGCATAGCTTTTTATTACACCTTACAATGTTTTTTATTTATTTGTTCCCATCCTTTTAATCTTTCATTCCCATTAGAATATAAGCTCCGTGAAAGCAGGCGATAAGACTGTCATGGTCATTGCTTTACTGCAGAAACTTGCACAAGGCCTATCTCAGGGGAGCACTTAATGAACACGTGGTAAATAAATGCCTGAGTAAATATTGCAGTAAGACCTGGCTTCTATGGCACAGAAAACAGGAAAGAAACCAAATTCGGACTGGACACAAACTTCCTCTCTAAAACTATCTATCAGAAGAAAATGAAGAGTAATGTACAGCATTGAAAGAGAGGATTGTTCTAGAAAATTTCTTGTTTGCCAGGCTGTCGTGCACTTGTGTAAACACAATATAAAGATACATTGCAAAATTCAAGGGCTTTTCCTATTCTTTTTTTTAAAAATTGATTCAAGCAATTCCAGAAGTTAAAAAAAAAATCATTCAAATTATAAACTCAGGAATGGGACCAAGATTCAGAATGAAAGAACCAGTAGTGATTCGAGTAAAAAAAATCTGTCTAAGGAGGTATACATTGATTTGCAAAATGGAATGTAAATGTTAACAGTTACCCACAAGATACACTACTTTTATAGCATATAAATTAAGGAATAAAACTCTTTGAAAATTTGAAAAAAATTTGAGATCATATTTATAAAAATTAAGAAAACAAAGTAAAAAGGAAAAGGAAAGTAAACTATGCTAAATTCCTTATCAAATGCTCATAGTAAAGAATATATATTAAATATTTTTCTTGAAAACCTTCAGTTTTCTTGTTTAAGCGTTCTCTTTTTTTCTTTACTTACAGTCTTTAACTGTATTAGCCAGGTTTAGTTTTTCTTTCCTAGTGAGTGGGAAAATACACATTTAATAAAGGTAAAAAATAATGTATATAATTCTCTCTTATCCAAGGAGAATCCTGACATTTATTACCTGATCTCCTTCTGTCAAAGGCACATACATTTGAAAAATTTCTTGATTTCCAGTCTACATCTGAATCTAATTATCTATTAAGATTTATGGGTTCATGTGGCAACATCACATAGGCACACTGCAGGTATCAGACAGAAAGTACAATCTTGTTTGATCTCATCCTCACCCAAACTCATCCACAGCTCCAGAGAGAGAAACTTTTAGGGGACAATTGCTTAGAAACACGCAGTTCACACTTTCTGTAAGATACTCTAAAGTATACATGTGAATTAAGCAGACTTCTGAGACCATTTGTGCAGATCACCTCTATGGTACCTACAGAACCAGATCTGATTAATTAAATTTTGATGGGATGCCATTAGCTAGATTGAGGGAAGCCACCAAAAAGAGCTGTGAAACTCATCATAGGTTATAATTTGAAGATAATGCTAATAAAGCCGAGTAGACTGTTCTGCTTTCTACAAGTCTTTAGAAATAATATTGAGACACATTTTAATATGTGATAATATTATTGCTATGTTTAAATAACTAAGCAGTGTTAGTTATATGTATAATACAACTGTTAAAATATAGTATGTGACAAATAAATTACACTATGAATAAATGTAAGTATGCTATACAATAAAACAAATGCATACAAAATATGTATCTTATGATGGCATGCAATAGTTAATATTACTTTATAGCTTAAAATTTATTTCTCTAGACCAAATTTACTCTTTATCTTACAGGAAATGAGACTTATGGAACTACCCCATGTGTCCAATACCAGAACTGCTAGAAAGCTTAGAATCAGGGAGATTTATGAAAATAACACAAGATCTAATTCACACTGTAGCAACTTTCTACATACATGCATAATTTTGGAATAATTAAAATTAAAGCAACATTTCATTGATAAAAAAAGAGCCATGTTTTTAGCCTTATTTCAACTTATTAACAATTGCAGGGGCATTCTTACTTCTGTAATTTTCCTCTTCAAGTGTCTCCAGGATGCTTTCTAACGTTTCATTACTTTCAGGTGGCTGGCGCACACACTTATTCTTCAGGTTGCCCATGAAGAGCTGCAGTCCAATCAGGGCAAACACGCTCAGACAGAACACGGTCAGGATCATGACGTCTGAGAGCTTCTTCACAGACTGGATCAGGGCCCCCACGATGGTCTTCAGGCCTGAACACAGTGGGGAAGAGGTGTTCATAATGAAATAAGCCTCTGAGTGAGAAACGAAAGTAAAGCACAAGCTTTCCTAGAAATGCATGCATTATATCAAATCAGTGGCCTTAAATAACCTGATTCCAAAAAAGCCTAGTAGTTCAAAAGGGTGCATTTGCTGTTTTATATGCATTTTGTTTCCATATATTACAGGAAATGATTAGCAATAGAAAAATGTTTCCAAGGAATAACCAAATTGTCAAAATGAGTAATTTGCTGGCTCAAACCATATCCACACTCATTTGTAAAACTAAATTTTTAAGGACTATTTCAGTAAATGTTTGCCAAACAAACCATCTCTCTATACGGATATCAAAACAAAGAGGTTGAATTGCAGCATGGAGTGACAATGAACTATTTTTCACTCAAGAAATGGTTTGTTGAGGAAAGATAAAAAACATGTCATGCAGTACCCCCATGCTGATGTTTTGTATCTCTTTTCTGAACTGTATGAAAAAGCAATTAAAACAAATTGAAATTTTCATTCCTGGATAGCAGAATGGAAAAAGAACTGTTAGACAGGATGGAAAATTTCAAGTTGAGATGTGAGCCAAATGGCCATCTTCGTCCTCTAAGACCCATGCAATTGGTTAAACTCAAAGGCTGACTTTTAACAATGATTGTGAAAAACAGAAGAAATCAAATGCAATTAGAATTGCTGAAGAGAAAGTTTTTCTTTCCTTTTCTCCAAAAGATTAAAGTCAGCCCCGGTGTTTAACCCCACTCTCACCTGGAATGACTGAAATTGTTTTCAATGCTCGGAGAACTCTGAATGTTCTCAACGCTGAGACATTGCCCAGGTCCACAAACTCTGTCACATACCTGTAATAGGGGGGTTTATACACAAACACAGTGACAACACACACACACACACAAAGAACAACTCCCAAATAGTTGGAGTTATGAGTGGCCTAATGCTTCACACCAGTTTCTTCTTACCTGGGATTACAGAAATAGTTTTCAAAGCTCTCAACACTCTGAAAGTTCGAAGAGCTGAAACATTGCCTAGGTTTACAAATTCTGTTAAATACCTGTAGAATTAAATCAGAGTTATTCAGAATTTAGAGAGAATCTATGATACTTACCCATCCATGCCTTTAGTCAAGGAAACTTGGAACTTTTTATTTAAATGTATAGTTCCTCAGGTCTTTTGTTTCTATCACAACTGATTTGATTTGACTTGATTTGACTCAATGTGAGCAAAATATTAATATAATTTTTAAATGGTATCATACACTTACGTGCCTAAGTAAACAATTACATGCTTCAGTTATTAGACCTTAACATTATGGTAATATACATATTTAATATCCAATAAAACATCGATGGCAAACCTTGCACACTGTATGCTAGCTGACAGAAGCCAGGCACAAAAGGCCACATACATATGATTTCATTCATGTGAAATATCTAGAGTAGGCAAATCCACAGAAACGAAACACTGGGGGTCCCAGGAACTGGGAGGAGGAGGGAATGGAAATGACTGCTTTCAGGGGGAGGAGGAAAATATTCTGGAGTTAGAGAGTGATCACGGTTGCACAACTTTGTGACCATATAACGAAAACATTGAATTTTATACTTTAAAAAGTAAATTTTACGGTATGTCAATTTTATCTCCATAAAAAAGGAGCCTGCCTGGGAAGGGGCAGCCTCATTGATAACAATGCTGTCTTATCAGCAGGTGATGCGTGGAGCCGCAGTATTCCCGCGTGACCACGAGGGACAAGGTCTGGGCAGGGGGCAGCAGGGAGGAATGAGAGACTGGAAATCTTAAGCCCCTCTGTGTTGTCTAAACTCCTCTAATGAATATGTATTACTTTTACAGTTCAAGGTGATACAGGGAAATACAGTGTACCCAGGTTTGAGACTAAAAAATAAAGACATCTTTCTTATCTACATTTGAGAAAAGAGCAGCAATATGAATAAATTAAAATTACATTTCAATGCAATATTTTTCCCTTTAAAATGTGGAGGCATATGTAATACATATACAATGCATTAATGTTAGGCTTAGTATGCAGTGACAGCCCTTACAAAGATTTACTTCTGTATTTTAATATACTCATTAGTTTTTAAAGAGGATAAGTTGGTAACAAGAGCACCATACTTGTAATTAAAGGCTGAGTTTGTTTTGTGCTTCTTATAGGTGTCATTGTTTTTTCATTAAGAACTGAAAAAGTATAAACCTAGTATATATTATCCACCCAAGTGCTGAGCATGAAGGGAGACCAATCTTAATGATTTATAGACTTTTGAGTAGAAAATGCTCTTTCTGAAAAAAATATATATATTTGTCCGTCATTACTAGCTTTCCTACAGCATCCTTTAAAACAGCCATTATTATATGCAGGAAAAGTCAAACCCCAAAGGTTTGTTCCTACTGGAAATCCTGTGCTGTCTGTGATTTTCATGAGATTGCCCCTTCAAAAAAATGAATGTACTTACGCAAAAACAATGACAACAAAATCGAGCCAGTTCCATGGATCACGAAGGAAAGTGAACTCTCCTACACAGAAGCCTCTTGCAAGGATTTTTACAAGCGATTCAAAAGTATATATTCCAGTAAAAGTGTACCTAGGCACAAGAATCCATTGGGATATGAAATATGAGAAGAAAACAGTACCATGTGAATCTTTGTAATTTATTTTTTTCTGATCAACCAAAGAAAGGCATGTAGTGTGGCCGTTAATGAATTCAGTCTATTAAACTACAACATATGTCTTTCCAGAAATCTTAAAACATCCATGTCAAAAACTCTTACAGAAAGCAGGGGTCTTTAAAATGTCTATGAACATATGTATTAAATCTGCCTAGAAAATTCCTACTTTGCTTCTATCAGAAATAGACCCAAGGATAAGGACTATGTAAGATGTCTCACAGCAAAGCAGAGCATCTGTGAAGTTCATTCTTTTAGGAGAGACTGTAGCTTCTGATTATTCTAGCCTACTGCTGGCAGGTTAATACTGCGGAGGAGAAAAAAATAACTGAAAGAAAAGTAACTATATAACATGGGAAGAAGAACATCACAATTTCTATAGCTTCACTAACTTCCCGGTCGAAGGAAAGAATAAAAATGATAATACTCAGACAGTATTAAAATGTTATTTATTTCCACTTACTCTACATTCTTGGTCCAATCAGGAGGGTTACTCATGGTCATAAATATGCAGTTGGTCAGAATAGTGCACATGATAAGAATGCTGAATAAAGTAGCTTAGAATCAAGGAATATAAAAGCCCATCACAGGAACCTTGACTATCTGGTAATGACACTTGTTGAAATGCTAACTACTCTTAGAAAATAATCCTAAATGAGTTGTAGGCTTGAAAAAAAAAATCTCGTTGAACAAGGAAGTTACAGAAAAAGTAATCAACCCTAAAATGCTAAAATTGCTCTTCTCCCAATCTTCTCAGGACCTACACCAAATTATATTGAAATTGATAAACTAAAACCAGAGCCTTTTGGGTACCAAAGGACTAAATCCATAAATAAAATAGGAAAACTACATTTTAAAGAATCCTTGCCAGTAAGCATATAAAAAAGGATATGAGTGTACTAAAATCTTAATAGATATTCTTCTTAGAGGACTGAAAGGTGAGAGCACGTACAGAGCAGGTGTGGCATTGAAACGGAAGATGGCTTTCCCTTTGTTCAGTACTATGAAAGTCTGCAGGAGCGAAAAGAACACAGAATGAAGCTGAAATCCAGAATTGCAGTCAGGCACATTAATATCAGCAGTTCACCTCTCCATGGGGGAGTGTCATATTAAGGCAACACTGGCATTAGACTCAGCAACTGGTCCCCTGCTTCTGATGCAGCTGTCTATGTCGCATTGGTCCCTGACCTCCAAGTCGACATCTTCTCAGCTAATTAAGAAGAGGTACTATTTATGAGCATGTATTGCTTAGAACTCCGAAAAGAGTGTCTTCTCTTTTTGATATCTCTTCAACACTTGAGTCAGTAACAATAAGTTCACAAAAAAGCTTCCTTCTTTCATGTCACTGTATTTCAAGCAAACCAAATAGAAAGCATCTGTCCCTGACATTCTACCGTAACACTTTGAGAACTATAGTACTCGTAGGCTATGTCATGATTAGCAGCAAGTGTTCCAGAGTATGAGTTCTTTCAAAAAAATGTTTTCATAAATTTCAGGACTATTAGAGTTGGAAGAATTTTATTACCCAGTTCAATTTTCCTATTTAACGCATAATATTAATCACAGCTAAAATTAAACAACATAAAATTAAAGCACTTGCTACTTACTATCCACAGTAGTTTTAAAGAATAATACAAATAGAACCACTCTTAAAATATGCAATGTAACCATAGCATAATGAGTGACATTCTCCATGGCTTTGGTATTTAGTTAAAAAATTAAAAACCCAAACAAATAAACAGAAACAAGAACAAAATACTAAAAGAATCAAAGGAATTGGCTTGGAAATTATAAAGACCAAGTTCAAATCCTTATTTTGCTGTAGTTGGGAGGCAAATGACTTGTGTTATCTAGAACACAGAGATTTGGTCTTATTGTTCTTGCTGAATCTGACTTTAAAATAAATTTATGAGTGGGCTCCTGGTAATAAACATTTTTTCACCAAACTGGGTATATAAGTTCAAGTATCTCACTTTTTAATCATATGTGGCAGTGTTCTCAAGAAAACAAACCAGAATCTATCATGTTCTGATGCCCTTTTGTATTTCCTGTCATTTTCACTCTATAATTATAACTAAACATAACTTAACATCAAGTTCACTTTTACGCTGAAAATTAGTTTTAAAATTAATAGTTAGTCTTTGAGTACAACTATTTTGCTTTTCTAAATCCTAGTACACTGTGCCTTTTAAAATTCATTCATCCATTGGTTTCTACAATTGTGTAGTGAGCAACTAGGGTGTAAGATGCAATGAAAGGGATTTAAACATAAACGAGGGATGAGTTTTTCATTCAAGTAACTTCCTAGAAAAGTGGTGAGAACACAATAACTCTAACACAAGGCCAGATGTGAAGAGTGTCACACGGAGAAATACCAATGAAAGGAGCGTGAGAGTGAAGAGGAGACAGGGTCACGTGTCTGTCGGGATTAGCAGGGAGACTTCATGACATCATTGGAGCTCATCAGAACGTTACTGCCTACTCTTGGCAAGGTCAAGTTACCTTATGCTTGAAATTTAAAGAAAAAGAACTAGTTTGCTATTTTTCAACTGAAATTCCCAATTCTCATTTACATTAAAAGCTTCTTTAGGAATTAACACACACATCAAGGAGTTAATTACAAGTAGGAAAAATAGGTACACCTATGAAATTTGGGGATCAGATGAGTCTTTTCAGTAAATTCTAAAATCCTACTAGCAAATGCATGGATGTGAAAGTCAAAATAAATTTGCTAATTTATTTAAGAATTTGTGGAACATAAAAAAATGATGGTCTTAGAGAGCATAGGCTTTGGAGTTGGGCAGATATGATTCTAAATATCACCTACTTTTAGCAGCTTGAAAGCTAGCATTTAGTGTCTGTGAAGATTTTAAGTTTTTGGTGCATTGTAAATTCTTAGTAAATGGTGGGAGCAGCTGCTGACATTACAGGCAGCATATAAAATCCCAAGGATAAGAAGGTAAGGAGAAAATGTACCTGTCCTCTTAACATGCAGAGCAGAGAATGATTGGCAATTTATTCTTTCTTAAAGACACAAAGTTTCACTTCTAATAAAGGCACTGCTTAATGCAGTTTAAAAGCACTTATATATTCACCACACATCACATAAAATTGAAACCCTAATTCCTTTCATTAGTCTTGTAAGTGTTCTTTGTTTTAATAAAGCATTGCTAATTACACTTAAATATAAATAAAAAACCTAGACCCAGGTCAAATTAGGGGTCATTAAGATTGGTAATCTAAGCAGTGGTTATAATGTAGCAGAAATAAAATTATTTTTCAATTAGCATGAATAACAAGAAACACTGAGGAATCCACCCACAGAGAAGTCGACCCCGAAGGTGCAAGCGGAGATCAAAACTTTTATCATGCGTGTTTGAGGAGCTGGGGCAAGACTCAAAAACTCGGTAAGTGAACGCACTAAACCAGAAGTAAAAGCGCTGGTTATCCCTGTGATATTTGTTCACAATTTAATAGAGGACCTTCAAAAACAGATCACTCTGTTCGATTTAGTCCTACCTGAACCGACCACTGCAGGTAGTGGTCAGGGTTTTGATGTGCCTGGTGTCTGACATCGTTTAAAGTAGCTGGGGCCAGGGCAAGGGGTCGGAGTCCCACTCTAAGGTTCTCCATTAAAGTCATCTACACATAGTTAAAATTACTCTATTAGTTAATAAGTCCAGTATCTTCCATTCAAATACAAACATTTTCTCCTTATCTCCCCTCACTTTTTGCCATTATTAGTTTATATTCTGACTTGGGGATTATTCCAGGATGCATCCTTTTCTCCTAAGAAGCTGCTGGTTAAGAAACACCCAGGCCCCCTTTTGAAATGGGAAATGTAGTAGGTTTCCAGGCAGAGCCAGGAATGTTTCAGGCTGAAGTAATAAGTAAAATGAGAAAGCTTTTTTTTTTATTTTGCTTGTTTCATTATTTACCCATTCATTATTCCATTCATTTTTGTAAAGTTGTTAGCACAGTCGTTGCTACACAACAGTAACTAAACTAAGAGACATTGCACAGTGGAGTACCTTAATAGGGAGTCAAAATAAATGTAAAAATCTACCACAAAACTTAGTATGTAACATTTTTCATGTCAATTTCCCCAAGCCCTTTGTCTCTAAAAATTGGGCATTACTTCCTATCTCACCAGGTTGTGATATATACGTGTCTCACCCCTGGGCAAGTTCACAGAAAAACAACAGTTGAACGTTAGGGGTAAAAGGGTTTATACCAAGCTTTAGTCTCACGATGGCCAGGTGGCAGGTCGGGTGCTGGAATCACATCGGCCTCTGCAGTGCTTGCGATCTGTCTCCGCCTCTGAGAGGACTACTGGGCGGAGCTCTTCATATAGTAACACCACAGTAATGGCTCATTGCCAAGGGTGTGGAAACGCCAGCCTAGCAGTAGGCCATTATATCACTAAGTAGTTTAGGGTCAGGTGAGGATCCTGGCCATAGGAACTTTCATTTCCCCTAAAATATGTGTGCTGGTTTGTACAAAAAGTCTAGTGCCTGACCCAGAGACCTTACTATCTCCTAGCACTCTCTCTCTCTGGGCCAGAATATTGACTGGCTCAGTAGGACATGGTGCGACAGTTCAAGGGCTTCTCAGGTCTTCTGCTTGCCACTGCAGTGCTTCAGCTTGCTGAGATGCTGGTATTAATGTAAAGCAAAATAACTAGGTATTGCTATTCATAGCAACTACCTCTGAAGCAGGTGTGTTTCTACCATCCAAATGAACTTCACCACATTTTGTATTCCTCAAGACATTTCAGATATGTATTTTATTTGCCAGATTTTATTTACCAAGAGACAGTAAAGGATTAGATCAGCATGTCCATAGCTTTCTCCAACAATGCCTCTTCATCAAGTTCAACCTGGTTGTGTCTGCTACTGTGTCAGAAATGACATTTCCTTAAATGCAATAAACCCTTTCTCAGCTCTGCTACTCTCAGAATTAACTTCCAAAGGCCAACTTCCCCTCCTGTAGTGTGGAAAATATTGACACCATTTAACACTCATTTCTTCTGATGTGCCTACATTAACTTAGATGGGCCAGAACTCTTAAATCCACCCTGCTTGCCTCTCAAGTGTCAGAGAAAAAGGCTTTTCTCCACTTTTCTGATGCAAATACATACATGACCTGTAGCTTGCACCTCATCTGTTAACATCAGAGAATAGCTACATTCATTACTCCAACCCTCTGCAGTTTTCTCTCTGACTGAGAATACTTTCTCTTTATTTTCAAAAGTACTCTTCATACCCTATGTTAAAAAGGGTTTCAATTTATTTGGTGCCTCAAGTGCCCATCTTTCTGGTAGAAAATTTATCTGCATGCTGTATCCACTTACTCTTTTTATTTGCTATCTACCTCTATCTTGCTTTAATTTCTATCATCTAAAACAAACTGCCTACAAAATATTAGTGATTCATTCTCCTTGCTCACCGCAAAAGTCTTTCTCATCCTTAACTTTCTGGATGAATATCTGGATGAGATACTCACTTCCCTATTTTTTGAATAATGGATAATTTACTGATTTATGCCCTACGTTTCTGACCATCTCAGATACCTCTTTCTCTCCAATAACCTAAATGAAGCAGCTCTCTGAACGCCATTATTAGTTAGGTGATCTTACATGTTCCCATGGAGGCAGCCGTCACCCCCATGCACATACATTCTGGACATATCCCCAGGTCTTACATCTCAAAGTGACAATTGCTTTGTTCCTACCAGTATGCATTTATGTCAAGTCTGAAAAGGCAGAACACTATCCTGAACACTTTTAAAAGATTAAGGAAATCAAAACATATGCCAGTGAAAGAACCAGTTTTAATGAAAAAATTAGAAATAAGCACATATTCTGAACATCCTACACATGTACTTAATTGAACATTTTTGTCAGGATGTGGTTTCCCAATAAATTCCACGTAACCTCAATTTAAAATACCTCTCTGCACAAAAGCTGCGGAGATGCACCACTGCCATTGCAATAAACTCACTTTTTTGTCCGCGTAGTAGGGGTCCAGGTCCTCCAGGGGCTCTGACACCATGTCGGGAGGGATGTCCCCATAGATGAAGGGCAGCTGCTTGCCGGCCTCCAGGTCACCGCTTGGCTTTGGCCTTTCTTCCTCCTCATCTTTCTTTTCTTCTCTGGGTTCCTTTGTTTTTCCTTCTGCGATACGTTGTTCAATGAGGGCAAGAGACTGTTTCGTGAAGAAGACAAAGCTCTGAGGTCTTGGGGGAGGCAGCAGTGCCATCTTCTCATCCTGTATATTTTATCTCCCCTTCAGCTCCTTACATAAGAGGCCTAAAGTGGGAACAAACAAATATGATCTGAAGTGTTTGCCTGCCAGGGATGGCATTAAAAATAATAGTAACAATAGCAATAGGTAAAAACAGATGTTTGGTTCCAAGTACAAGAAGTAATATGTTTATAGAATTATCAAGTTGAATTAGCATTTATTGACTACTGTGTGCAAGGTTTATTTTTCATGCTATCTTTATTTAAAAATGTGAAAATAATATCGCACAGCTTTTAAAGTACAGAAGCGACAACTTAATGAAAAACTTTTTTTTAATTCTCATTACTTTTCATCTGTATTCACTTTTAGTGCAATTCAGTGCAATTTTTCCTGTTTAAAAGTCTTATAACAGGGCTTCTAAGAGTGCCACTCTGCAGGGTCTCCTCTGATCACCTGATCCTCTTCTGCCTTACATCTCACATTACCTGCCCACACCCTCTAATCCTCTCTCTTGGCGAAACTAATTTCTGTGAAATGAATGAAGTAGTGGAAGATCGCTTTACTTTATTTAACATATTTATATTTTCTTAATATAAATACATATACCTTTACAAATCAGAAACAAAATTCCAACTTGAATTAAAAATAATTTGGGAAAATGTTTTGGGAAGAACAAAGAAAATAAATTTGGGAAATATTTGTGATAGATTCAATTTAAAAAGTAAAAAAAACTAAATAGTATGATATGCATTTAAACTATGACTTCCCTAATCAACTTCCTTGTGTATACAAAACTTAAAAAAACTACAGGAAAGAAAAATACAAAATTAAAAATTCTGAGTTTCTATGTATTATTATTTTGTCACATTCTAAGTAAAAGAACAGGAAAAGAACTGTTCTTACTTTAAAAATAACAGACTCATTATTTCACCGAGTTGAGATAACTTCATAACTCCTCCACTAGAAAATAAAAATGAATGTTTTATTTTTCTATATTAGGTTGCCTCAGAGTTGGGACACACCAACATCTCATAGGTCAACCCCCTGAATGACTTGAAAGGTTATATATTAAGTGATGTCAACACACATAGCAGGACGGTGAACTAAGAAAGCCTTGGTCTGCTCTTCTATTTTGCAATGATAAATACAAAAATTAGGAAAATCACAGTAGTCACAACATAGATTACATAGCTTCAGAAAAAGGAGAGGAAGCTGAAACTATTCTTTTCCAGGTTTTTCCTATTCCCATGCCAAACAAAACAAACTTCACTTATGCTTAGAACAAAATAGATGATGTTTCCCCTCGGGTATCTAAGCACAGTTTAAGAATAACCCTTAACAGAAACCTATGTATTTTAAAAAGAGGTGGAAAACCACTTTAAAACAACAGAAAAATAATCATTTTGCAATGAAGAGTCATACGAACATTTATGAAGCAAATTTAGCTTTTTCTGAAAAATGTTTTTATGGCTTATCACAGGATTGAGCCTGCTTCTTTTCATGGCATGGGTCATCACATTTTCTTTCTAATATGCTAACTCATTTTCATTTTAAATGTTTTTAATCTGAGCATATTACTGTATCAGACATACAGAGCTGTGAGAATAAGGAGAAAACAGATTTTGTCTTTAAGATAAATACATGCTAAAAAGGAACACCGATCATATGGACTCACAGAGCAAAGAACCTGGGTCCACCAGAGTAAAGGAGAATGCAATTAACCCGAATAACTCCTCCTTCTTTGACAGCCTGGTTGAAGTACAGACGGAGAGAGGCATGTGTCAGGAGAGGCAGTGTCATAGGTAGCAGGAAGTGGAGTGTCCCTCTGATTTAAGTACAAACATTTCTGATATAAATTCCAGGATTTCTTTATCAGTCTCTCCAATTGTGGAGAACTAAAAGCCTCTAAGTTGTAGATATGCAGCAACATTTCATGGGACAGAATATGCTGGGAACCATGCAATGGCGTATTTGGCAATAAGAACATCTTTCTACTTAATGGATCAGAGTTACGGAAATATACAATTATGAAAAAAGAAGGACATGTCAGTATACTCTGCTGACGAAAAGTAGCTAATATTGCTTTTGAACAGAATTTGCATAGTTAATTGACTATGTGTTTGCTGGTTTGTCCTGGGTTTTAAAGTATTTTGCTAAAATTAATGACACCATTATTTCTATAAATTCAACACTAGTAAGAAGAGACATATATTTTGATGAAAACTAAAGTTGAGATGCTTTTTAAACGTGGAGCGAAAAATAAGGGGCATTGCACATGCGCATTTAAAGGAGGACAGTGAATCATGCGTCATCAGTCCCACTACTAGGTATAAATGCCAAGAATTAACAACATATGATCCCACAATTCTTTGCGCATGAATGTTCACAGCAGCATTATTTCCAATAGCCAAAAAGCAGGAACAACCTAAATGTCCATCAACTAATAAATGGATAAACAAAACGTAGTATATACAATCAGACAATGGAATATTATTTGAAAATAAAAAGAAGTGAATTACAGATACATGTCACAACATAAACGGCCCCTAAAAACCCTGTGAAAGCAGCCAGACCAAAAAGCCATATGATTGCATTTGTATGAAATGCCCAGAATAGGTATGTCCTCAGAGACTAAAAGAAGATTATCATTGCCACAGGCTGGGGATAGGGGGCAATGGGGAGCAACTGTTAATGGTTATGGGGTTAATGGTTAATGGGAATGGGCTTTCTTTCGGAAATGATAAAAATGTTCTAAAACTAGATAATGGACATAGTTGTACAACTCTGTGAATATACCTAAAAACCTCTGGATGTACAATTGAAAAGGGTGATTTTTATGGTATATAGTAAGCTATATCTCAATATAAATTGCTCAAAAATTGAAACCTGAAATATGTGAAAACCATCCTGAGAAGAAAGAACTTTAGTAAAATGGAAACAAATCACTTTAGGAGTCTCTATAGGCTCAGTATAAAGGTAGAATGGCTTTGGGTCTAAGATTAATTCACAACCTAAGGTTTAGTTGCAGCGCGTAAAGGCCAAGCTTGGTGTAGTTTACAGAACTGGTCACAAGCCAGGTGACCTGATTCCAGAAGCACCCTTTAGAAACTGCACTGCATCAGTCTGAGCAATCAGGCAGTAAGCGCAGCTGCCATTTGGGTTCAGGAAATTTCCTCATCAACTTGTGGAAATCACAAAGGTGAAGGGGAGGGGCTGCCTGCCTCAGAAGATTTTCAGCGTACACATGTCTGGTCTCTTGGGGAAAAGACAGCTAACAAACTGGTATTTTTGTACATCCTGCATTCAAGTGGAGGTATCACCTCTTTCAATAACTATTTCTCAGAAATTCAGGTAAGTAGATGTCATGAACTCAGGCATCCAGTGACCACTTACATTTTTCGAATATTTCTATTGTTTTTTTCCCTTGTTTCTGTGCCTTTTACTTTCTCTCTACTGATGCACACACTCAGCAGTCTTTGAATCCCTGAAGGATATACAGGCAGCAGGGGCGGAGGGTGAGTCACGTGAATGGTATCACATGTGGAGATATTTTCCTCATCAGGCTAAACTGAAGAAAGACACTAAGAACCTACGTAATATCAGAGTCTTGGAAAATAAAGTGAAGAGACCCAGATCGAATCCCGCCATCACGCCTTAGTTTGCAGAGAGTACTGGGGAAATCGCTGTCTTCTCTCTGGATGACAGGAATAAACCTGGTGTACAAACTTTTTGAGGGTAAGTTTGCAGGATCTATCAAAAACCTTAAGTATGTTGATTCATTTTATTGCCAAGTGACCTCCTTTCTAGGAATTTATCCAAAGCAATAATATCAGATATCTTCAAACATTTATGAAGATGTTTACTGCAATGTTTTTGTAATATTGAAGAACTGTAGTCAATCCAAAAGTCTAACAGTCAGGATTTCAAATGAAAGTGGATGTATAAAGAAAAACCAAGTGGTATAAAGAGTACTCTTGAAGACTAATGAATTATAAAAATTTCATAATGGAAAATTCATAGAATAAGGTTATACATACACAAACAAACCTCTATATCCATCTCAATTTCTAAAATGTATAGAAAGTTTGAAATTAAATACACAGTATGTTAAGGAAGGTTATTTCTACAGGGATTATGGGTTATTTTTATTAACCTCTTATTGAAAAGGGTGATTTTTATGGTATATAGTAAGCTATATCTCAATATAAATTGCTCAAAAATTGAAACCTGAAATATGTGAAAACCATCCTGAGAAGAAAGAACTTTAGTAAAATGGAAACAAATCACTTTAGGAGTCTCTATAGGCTCAGTATAAAGGTAGAATGGCTTTGGGTCTAAGATTAATTCACAACCTAAGGTTTAGTTGCAGCGCGTAAAGGCCAAGCTTGGTGTAGTTTACAGAACTGGTCACAAGCCAGGTGACCTGATTCCAGAAGCACCCTTTAGAAACTGCACTGCATCAGTCTGAGCAATCAGGCAGTAAACGCAGCTGCCATTTGGGTTCAGGAAATTTCCGCAACAACTTGTGGAAATCACAAAGGTGAGGGGGAGGGGCTGCCTGCCTCAGAAGATTTTCAGCATACACATGTCTGGTCTCTTGGGGAAAAGACAGCTAACAAACTGGTATTTTTGTACATCCTGCATTCAAGTGGAGGTGTCACCTCTTTCAATAACTATTTCTCAGAAATTCAGGTAAGTAGATGTCATGAACTCAGGCATCCAGTGACCACTTACATTTTTCCAATATTTCTATTGTTTTTTTCCCTTGTTTCTGTGCCTTTTACTTTCTCTCTACTGATGCACACACTCAACAGTCTTTGAATCCCTGAAGGATATACAGGCAGCAGGGGCGGAGGGTGAGCCACGTGAATGGTATCACGTGTGGAGATATTTTCCTCATCAGGCTAAACTGAAGAAAGACACTAAGAACCTACTTAATATCAGAGTCTTGGAAAATAAAGTGAAGAGACCCAGATCGAATCCCGCCATCACGCCTTAGTTTGCAGAGAGCACTGGGGAAATCGCTTTCTTCTCTCTGGATGACAGGAATAAACCTGGTGTACAAACTTTTTGAGGGTACGTTTGCAGGATCTATCAAAAACCTTAAGTATGTTGATTCATTTTATTGCCAAGTGACCTCCTTTCTAGGAATTTATCCAAAGCAATAATATCAGATATCTTCAAACATTTATGAAGATGTTTACTGCAATGTTTTTGTAATATTGAAGAACTGTAGTCAATCCAAAAGTCTAACAGTCAGGATTTCAAATGAAAGTGGATGTATAAAGAAAAACCAAGTGGTATAAAGAGTACTCTTGAAGACTAATGAATTATAAAAATTTCATAATGGAAAATTCATAGAATAAGGTTATACATACACAAACAAACCTCTATATCCATCTCAATTTCTAAAATGTATAGAAAGTTTGAAATTAAATACACAGTATGTTAAGGAAGGTTATTTCTACAGGGATTATGGGTTATTTTTATTAACCTCTTTGTACTTCACTTTTCAAATTTTTACAGTGAAGATGTCACAGTTTTTTATTTAAAAAAATGAATTTCAAAAAGAAGCACTCCAGTTTATTTTACCCAAATTTAATACATTTAATAAAATTGACATTTTCATGTTTAATTTATAATTTTGAAAAATACATTACCATATTTACCCTTACTAATACAACTATGACTGCTTTTTTGGAGATCACAATATATTGCACATAAAAAGAATACTTATGTTCTCATGACTATTTTGCTCCCCTACCATTAATCTCATTCTAGAACATTCTTAGAGAACTACTGAAAATAAAAAGTGAAGGTATTACCCTTGTATCTAGGATTTGTTACAGTTAAAATAGATCCAAAATTATTCTGAACTTCTTAAAAATTATCTATCTATAATCTTACATATGCCTGTATCACCTATCTATGTATCTATCTATGTGTTGTCAATCTATCTTACCTATCTATCATCATCACCTATTTTTCCCTCATACATCTTTCCAGTCAAAGCAATGTCAGCTTCTAGTTGATGACAATGGTCTTATCCCTTGCGTTTCTCACCCCTGGCTTCCAAATTCCCAAAGCGATGAAAACAAGATGTGCATCAAGGAATTCTTTCGTGACGCTAAAGACCAGAGGAGACACTGAAAGAGGATTCACAGATGTGGAGAGAGGAAGCAAATGGGATTCCCCTACTGCAGTGATCAGAGTATAAGCCACAGCCTGGAACACTCATCTGAGAACATCAGAACAGAGAAGGAAATATTTCTTCCCAACAGAGAAGGCACATGGGTTCAGGTAGGTCATAAAATAGGTTGGTTAACACAGGATTATTCAACAATATTGTAGGTCATTTTCCCACTTATTCCTCTATATTCACTTATGAAGCAGTGGGATTTATCCCCAGGCAAAAACGAAAAAATGAGTCTCTTAATTAACTGAGATGAGACTTCTAAGGTGTCCGCTTCCATTTTGGCTAGACGCACGGTGGAGTTAAGGGAAAGGTGAACTCTTCTTACAGGCTCCTTGCCCATATATCCTCAGTGTAGCCAGCTTACCAACACCAGACCAGACACCCAGACAGAGCTGGGAGTCATCCCCCGCTCTCAAGGGAGGATTGGCTTGGGAAACAGACCTACATAAAAGCAGAAGCAACCCTGATCAACAGCAACATCGTCTTTCATTAAAAAATATTAACAATTAAGAATAAATTGGTAATCAAAGACTACGAAAAATAAAACTGAAGGATTAAGATGAACAGACCAAACTTCTAGCTCTGGACAAAAGAAAAAATATTAGAAAACATAGGGAAATATTAGGAGATTAAAATTAGTATTCCCAGAGAAATGTGAGTAGAGAATCTATTACAGAAACGAATAGGGTACCAAATATAAAACACCCAGAAAAACAAAAATTATTGGTATTTAAGGGCACAGGTATCAAAATAAAAATTTCAACAGAATGTTTGCCGCAAAGAAGTAGAACCTAGAATTGTAGTTACCTTTCAAGGGTACTTTACCAGAAAGAGACAGAAATGAGCATTCTTAAGTGTCGAAATGTTCTATATCTTGATCTGTGTGATGGTCACACATATATGTGTAAAAATTCATGCACTTCTATATTTCAGATATGCATCAAAAACTTCTCCTAAAAAGTGTACCCAAAGAGCAAAAGAAAACTCAAAATAAAATTCAGGGGATATAGAATAATCCAGGGGGTCCCTTGCTTGCTGAATGCATGATTTTTAATAGTATCAAATTTCATTGAATCTGACACCATTTCTTCCATAACTAGGTTTAGATATTGACATTACATTATACTAATACCAAAAATCCATAATATGGAATTAATAAGTCTTATTCCCTACTATTTTCTTAAATATTACTGTTTGAAAAACTTGTCTCACATATGTTAGTGGCAAGAAGGCAGCTAGCTAGGTGTCATTTGTCTCTATTGCTGCCCAGAACTGCTGTGTATGTCAGAATGGAAGTATACGCCATTGCGGTTTTCAGCCAGGCTGTAGGAAAGAATCTGTGTAACTAAAAAAAGAAATAAAGGCTACCCAAGTAATGCTGAAATAAAATTTGGGGTGGGTGTGGGGGGCCTAATCTGTCCACATTTTAAAAGCAATAAATATTGATGTGAATCTCCTTTTGAAAACCATTTCTAAGCAACAAATGTGCTAAATCAATAACATCAGATGAATGTGCATAAATTAATGCCCAGGTTTGATTATTCAATAAGGAAAGCAAATTCAATTAAAAGCATACAAAATCTTTCGAATTTCATTTTATTTGAAGAGTACGAATGCAAAACACCAAAGTTTCAAGTCTCCTTTTTAAGATCGAAAGGAGAAACCTAAACTCCTTTCCATGAGAATAACACAGAGTTTGAAACTATGAATCTGTATCACGCTCACTCAGAGAAAGAAGAGCTGAAATGAGGGGAAAGAAGGTGGGAACGAAGAAAAGGAAAGGAAGGAAAATGAAAAACAAATAGAAAAGGAGAACATAACAGAACAGAAAGTCTCTGGTCTCTTTGCACACTCCAGCTATAAAGTCCAAGACATTGAAAAAGCAAAGCAGGTTCTTCACCACATTTTTGTTTTTAATTTTCAACATTTTAAGCATCATATGTCAATCATATTGCTTCATCCCCATTAGGCCTGGAAATCCCATTTTTATATCTTTTTTTCCCTCCACTTTCATTTGAATTATGCAATGCTCCTCCTTGGAGTAGCCCCCATGCTCATCCTTCAAACAGGGCAGCATTCATACAACCTTGGCGAGTCTGTTGCTAAGCAACAAGCAAGGAAAAGGAAGATCTATTGCTGTTGTAAAATAACCAAGAGTTACATTTATTCTCTCCAAGTATTTGTTTTAAAAAGCTGTTCTTTTATGATGACTGTAGTTAAAAACACTGTGCTGCATATTTCACAGTTGCTGAGAGAGTACATTTTTAAAGTTCTCATCACAAGAAAAGTTTTATACCTATGTGTGGTGACAGATACTAACTAGACTTATTGTGGTGATTATTTTGTAATATATGCAAATATTAAATCATTATGTCATACACCTGGAACTAATATAATGTTATATGTCAGTTAGAGCGCAATTAAAAAGCTGATCTTACAATTTTCAGGAATAAATGGCAATACTGCAAAAAAGAAGATAAATATATTAAAAGAAACATGTTTACTTTATCAGCTTGAAAATTAAAGCTATGTATTACTTTATGAAATGTTATTTAGGAATGTATATACTTCTTTAAAAAAATAATTTTTCATTTTACATGTGTTTCTACATTTTTTTAAATTTGAGTTTCTGCAAGACACTGAGAATATGGCTCAATTTCCAAAAATATAAAATGGACAAAATCCTTATTAAAAGAGTTAATATACATGATGAAGTGTGCTTGTATTTAATACATAAAAGTCCAAACTGGTTTCAGTAGCCCACAGATCGGTAATCATATTGACCTTCCCCATCAAAATCCTTGTTCCACATTTTACAGCTCTTGACCCTGAGCAGATGACTTAACTTCTCTGAACCTTAGTTTCCTAGTTTGAAAAATGGGGTTAATTAACTCTGTCTCAAAAAGTGGTTAGGATTGGGATGGTTAACTGTGTATACAATACTGAGTAGAGAGTTTTGTACACAGTAACTATGTCAAAATGGTGCTGTTAAAATAATTAATCTCATCTTTCCATTTGAATCTTGGTCAATTTTATCATACATCTGAAATTAAGATCTTAGTTACATTAAACATGAGGATGTTTCAATTCATAGGAACTTACTAGCTTATTAAACAGATTTCACATGCACATATATTCTAAACAGAGATTTGATGTACAGTAACAATTTAACCACAAATTCTGGATCCAGAAATCCTGGGTGCACCACTCACTAGTGATGTGATCTTGGACATCCAAATTATGAAACTCTTCTGAGACTAAAAACCTTGAAGCATTTAGAATGGAACTAGTTACTTTTCAAAACATCACATTAGACACCGTAAGTATTCCTAGGATGAATATTGGTTGCTCAAAGGTTTAGATTGCTACTGAGTTTCCTTTATTTAAGTAAATTCCCATTATTTTGCCTTTGTTGCCTTCAAATTTATATGAAGACTTGGAAAATATTTTTTAATAAGACAAAATGATGTAGCTCAAGAACTGTCATTATGATTTTTTTTAATTGAATTGGTGTCTCTGAACAGGCTCATAAGGAAAGGAGATCTCCCACTTGATTCACCTTCTGAGAAGCAGTTAAGTATCACTGATGGAGTTTCTGAACAGAGCACAAAAATGTTTCCGCCCTTAAAGCAAAGAAATGTCACAGAGAGTCTCTAGAGAGTCTGAGGCACTCTGGGTTCCTGATTTTTCTCTACACATAACTACTATTCCAAAAACTATTTTTGAAGTCAAATATCAGAAGCGGCCATCAGGAAGCTGCTTTGGGGATTCCTTTAATCCACAGGGTCCTGTAAAGCCCTTCACACAGGGACCATCCCTGAGAGGGAGATGGGGGGTGTTTAGAGTCCAAATTGGGAATCTCCTAGAAATCGGTGAACGCCCAAATCAATTCTTACCTAAATGACTGAAAGGAAAAATGTGGGCTGTGTCCATTATTTTCAGCTGGCAAAGGTCTCAGGGGCTTCTAATATCTTCTTGGCCCCACGGCATGTACATAATACTACGGTTCCCAATTGATTTATTAATGTCAGAGTGTCAACTCTATTGTGATTCAGGTAGGATATGTGTGTATTATGTCCATATGATTTTGTAGTATGAATTGTGCTTGTGTAATGATTATCGTCATTATATTTTGTCTTAGATATGAATTCTTTATTTAAAATATTGAATCATTCTCTTTAAAATATTTCTCAAAGCATTCCTTTATCACTAAATTTCATTTGGCAATGCCCAACATTTCTTGTAGAAAGCGAGTAATAAGTGAATTTCTGTTTCTTTAATTGTGATTAGCAGGATTAAGATGTGAAATTTATTTCAAGTGGAATAATCACGTGTTCATAACTTTAAAATAATCTCAGACTTTTATAAGCCCTCACTGAGTCTCTTAGCTGTAATTAAATTTCTATTTATGTAAAATTAAAATTGGTCAAATAAAACTTTTGAAGATCTGCCAAAATCTGAATTAAATGAGGTGGGATCAAAATTACTTAAGACAGTAGACAAATGTAAAATAAGAAAAATAGAGTGTTTTATTGATGCTCTGTCATCAAATGAAATAATTGCTTTGAGAATGTCACTTTTCTGAAAACAGATGTGATATTTTCCCACTGAAGTTTTGGCTAGAGTAACATTTTTAAAGCATGATAGATTAAATACACTGCCATTATCTGTAATGTGCCTAAGTGATGATGGATTACAAATCTGAAGACTTCTAATTAAATTGGGTTATAATTAATACATAAAAATAATATTTTATAGATGATGAGCATCACTTTGATCAATAAGAGATCCGTCAGAAATGCTGATCAATTTTTTCAAGTTAGGCTTGAGAGGATAATTTTCTATAAATGTGCTCTCTTGGGTAAGGATTGAGCTTAAAATTTACAAACAGAACTAGATTGGCGTCACAATGTCTGAGTCCTAATTATACTTGAGAGTCATTATGACTAAGTAGGCCAAAAAATACATCTGTATGGGATTCTGTTTGTGTTTTCTTTCAGAATAATGGTAATTTAACTCACTAGTAAATATTTTTTGAGTTGTTAAATTAAAGCTTTACTATATGTCTGTTTTAATGATGCTGTTAAGATATAAAAGGCTCTCTTCTGTTGTTACTTCAGGAGCTGTGAGGTAACACTGAGATGAATGAAATCTATTTGACTCAGAAATTGCATTTCACTCACATCTGAACAGCTGATAGCATCACCAAACAAAGCAACAGACAAGTCCACTACGACATTTTAACATCTTCTCCTATGTTCTGTGACATCTCCCTCACAACTTTTCTATTCATAAAATCTAATATTCCACGATAAAAGAGAAAAAGATCATCAGGAGAGATGGGAGAGGCAATATTTACTTCCAGTATGAGTTGTTATGACATAAACCCTCGTCCATGAGACCTGAAAAACTTCCAGATGAGTACACGGAAGTTCTGTTTACATCTTGATACTGAAGGCCCTTCCTACGCGCAGCCTCAGTACAGGACAGGAATATCAAATCATATAAAACCTCTATGTTAATAACAAGAAAGATAAAGATGAAACATTCAAAGACAAGAGGAGGTGCACCTTGGTTAGCCAGGAGTTCTCCTAGTAAGATATGAAAGTGACAGCTGCGAGAGGACTGAATCTGAACACAGGGAAAAAATAATTAAACCAGGGTTGAGCCCAGTCCTATCTGTTCCCTGAATTGTAGTTAAAAGGCCTCTCAAAAGCTTTTCATTGTACTGAACACCTGATAACATCACTGAAGATAAACAGACGACAGACACCCTGGCTGTAAGGAGCACACAAACTGAGTCCCATCCTGGGCAGGAGGTCCTGGGCATTTATGTTGCAAACCAAAATTCTTTGTAAAGAATAAATGCAACATCACCTGAGATCCCAAGACAACACGTATAAGGTGGAACTGTTCTAGGCAAGCTTAAATATATGCCCATCTTACTTTTGAGAGGTCCTGGTAGAAGTTACCAGACAGGAGCTAAGATCCTGGCACTGCCTTCTAATTCTTCTCCTTTTTATGGGAGTCTATGAGACTCTCTCGATCGTTACTCTTTACCGAGGTATGCCGCAGGCATCATGTGCTTTCCTGTGAGACAGACTTTATGGCACACTAAAATAAACATAAGCAGAACTTAAATCTTCAGTTGTCAAGATTTAATTATGCTGACACTGTTACTGTTTGCATACAGAACCTTGCTTAAATGGCATCCTACTGAGCTTAGAGTCCGGACCTCAGGGAACTAAAGATTCCCAACTTTAGGCTGAAGGCTGGTAGCACGAAGGGTCATATCCAAATACTGCTTGGCATTGTATTTAATATGTAATCAAAGGTCTGTGAAACCCCTTGGCTTGTCTTTTTAATTTGCTGTCCTGAAATTTCTGTTATATTTTGATCCAAATAAAAACATCATTTTTTAGCTCTGATTTTGGCAGACCCTCCAACACTTCCCGAGTTCATCATTTTTTGAAAATTGTATAGATTTTTCAAATTGCCAGTTGTTCTACCTCTGATGTTTTCCTTTATCCCTTGCCCAGTCTAGGTTCATTAAAACCAATGGTTATAATCCATTACATTTAGAGATTTAGATGATGGCTATATTATTTGTTTTGTTACCTAAAATTTAAAAACTGACCAAAACTTTTACACTTAAGTAGGCATAAGGAGACTGGAATTAAGTCTCTATGAATCTATATACAATCCTCTATTTTCTCAATACAACACCTCAATGTGCTTCAACTATATAGTACAACATTCAAATTAACAGACGACAGACACCCTGGCTGTAAGGAGCACACAAACTGAGTCCCATCCTGGGCAGGAGGTCCTGGGCATTTATGTTGCAAACCAAAATTCTTTGTAAAGAATAAATGCAACATCACCTGAGATCCCAAGACAACACGTATAAGGTGGAACTGTTCTAGGCAAGCTTAAATATATGCCCATCTTACTTTTGAGAGGTCCTGGTAGAAGTTACCAGACAGGAGCTAAGATCCTGGCACTGCCTTCTAATTCTTCTCCTTTTTATGGGAGTCTATGAGACTCTCTCGATCGTTACTCTTTACCGAGGTATGCCGCAGGCATCATGTGCTTTCCTGTGAGACAGACTTTATGGCACACTAAAATAAACATAAGCAGAACTTAAATCTTCAGTTGTCAAGATTTAATTATGCTGACACTGTTACTGTTTGCATACAGAACCTTGCTTAAATGGCATCCTACTGAGCTTAGAGTCCGGACCTCAGGGAACTAAAGATTCCCAACTTTAGGCTGAAGGCTGGTAGCACGAAGGGTCATATCCAAATACTGCTTGGCATTGTATTTAATATGTAATCAAAGGTCTGTGAAACCCCTTGGCTTGTCTTTTTAATTTGCTGTCCTGAAATTTCTGTTATATTTTGATCCAAATAAAAACATCATTTTTTAGCTCTGATTTTGGCAGACCCTCCAACACTTCCCGAGTTCATCATTTTTTGAAAATTGTATAGATTTTTCAAATTGCCAGTTGTTCTACCTCTGATGTTTTCCTTTATCCCTTGCCCAGTCTAGGTTCATTAAAACCAATGGTTATAATCCATTACATTTAGAGATTTAGATGATGGCTATATTATTTGTTTTGTTACCTAAAATTTAAAAACTGACCAAAACTTTTACACTTAAGTAGGCATAAGGAGACTGGAATTAAGTCTCTATGAATCTATATACAATCCTCTATTTTCTCAATACAACACCTCAATGTGCTTCAACTATATAGTACAACATTCAAATTAAGTACAACCATATTATTCAATTAATTATCCATCATCACTATGGATTTAGCCAGTTCATTTCACTAGAAAGCCAGTTGGAACCAGGGTGACCCTCCTTGACCCCCCAGGTGTGGAAAACTCAACAGTCATTCCTCATGGCTCTTCAGTACTAAGGAGTACTCGCTGATAAGGTGGGTTGTGCACATTTATCTGTGTCCCCATTTAACTATAGTCCATAAATATATTACTTCACATAACTCATTATTAGAACTTGATGTTTCTAAGATTGTGAAATCCCAGACAGCAGTGTATCCTTACCCTATAACTGTGCTTGGAACCAAGTAATCCTGCCATTTGATTTTGTAGTCTTTGTGGACCCTGACAATCCAAAATACTACAGGGAGTAAAAATATCCTTCTAGAATGAGGGAGTTCTGTGTGTAATTCCCACTGAGAGCTGCATGATTTGTCAGCTTGAAGGAATTCACTGGTGTGTATATTTAAGATACCTATATTTTCCTGTAAATATTTTGTACTGCATGAAAAGTTACAAAAAAAAGGTGAATGTGAAATTTTAAAAACCTTTTTCAGAAAACAGAAACTGAGAATTCATCACTGCACTAAAATATACACTAAAGGAAGGTTTTAGCCAGAAGGAAAAGATCCTAAGAGCAGAAGAATGGATATGCCAAAAAGTGAAGAATATCACAATGGGTATGTCTGTGTATAGATAAGGGAAAAATAACTATGAAAAGTGAACCCTGACTACACAAAGCAATAATGATTATAGCTTACGGATTTTAAGACTATAAAAGTAGAACAAACTAAATGAATTTCAGTTTGCATATTTTCTTAAGTCTATCATTGTACATACAAACTTGATTTCTTTCCTATGTTTTCTTTTGACTTTCAATTATTTCAGTCTACAATATTTGTGTGGTTGTATTAATAACTAAGGTAATTGTCCTCATATATTTTTAAAGTATATAGATTTTTTTCTCTGTTGTGTAGAAAACACCGTCCATGAAGACCCTTAGTGTGTACTGTTGTATAAACATTACTATTTTTCAAAGTAGCCTTAGTTTGAAAGACACTTCAAGAACTGAAAAGTAGAGAATGAATTTTAAATGACTAGCCCTCAGTTAAATTATTTGCAATCTTTATTTTTTATATTAAAATTCATTTTTAGAATATAAAATTTATATTTAAATCATATGAGCCTGCTAACAGAATCAACAGAATATGCTTTGGGGATGTTTCTTTATCAAGCCACAAAAGACTAAGGCAAGAAGATCCACATATAATCAATAAGACAAACTACAAAAAGGTAATCCTGATTTTAAGATCACCCTCCTTCCACAGGTTGTACAACAAAAGATTTTTACATGTGTGAAATCATGTAATACTAACATTCCTTTACTATGTGTTCATCTCATTTTTATTTACTCTTCCACAAATATTTTTTAAATGATTCCTAAGTGCCCAACACAATGCCAGGTGCTGGCAATACAAATATAAACCAGGCAGCCTTGGTTTTTGTCCTCTGGGACCTACAGTCTTTGGGGAATATGGGCAGGTAAACAATTGCAAGCCACCTATCATACAAAAATAATGAGAATATCCAGGAAAGGTACCTGACCTGGGCTTCGGAAGGAAGGTTTCAGAGAGAGAAGAGGGGTAGAAGTTAGCTGGTCTGTACTGTGACTTGTATCCCTGAGAAGTCCTCTCTCTCCCTTGACACTTTCCATTCTTGTGCTCACTGTGACCCAGAAACTGTTTTTGTCATTTGTTTATGTTTATCCCCAGTCTGATCATATTTACTGCTCTCAACTTTTCTAAACAATAAAAAAATCAACTTTGGTTTGTACTTCCATGGAATTTGAAAAG